ACGATTAACTGGAAAATGAGGACATTCGCCGAATGGACTGGCCAGCCAGACATCATAGCCTTAATAATATATAGCATGTTTGGAACCCTCTAGAGAGGGCAGTTTCTTGTCATTTTTCCAATAGCCCTGCCGCAGTTGAATCAATCGCCCCATCTCATCTGATATATCTCATTCCCTGTTATAAATGTAAATTTTAAACCAAGTATCATTAAAATCTATACTTTAGTTTATCAGATGGTCCACATAATAGGAAAAATTTCTTAATTTTGCATACTAGTGTAAATGGACATGAGGTTATAAGGTGCAATAAAATTTTAAAAGAGAGGATTTAAAATGCCTTTAGATTAAGAAATGGAAAATTAAAAAGTGTTGCAATTTGACAAAAGTAATATAAAATGTAAAATCTATATTTGTGAATTGAAGAATATAAAACATTTAACCAACTAGTATCTGCATGAATGCCCCCAGAATTAATCCGGGGTATATGCATACCCTGGATTAATTCTGGGGGGCTGTATGAGTTCCGTAACGTTTCCTGTTTTGTGACACTTGTAGTGTTTTTTATTCGAGAAATGCCTTAACGAAGGCTTTCTCTCATGGTGCTAAAACTCCGCTGCTTTGTCAAAGAATGTAAACTATGTAACTATAAAATAAATATATTTACATTTAAGTATTCATCAGAAATGTAATAAGCAACACGAGAAATAAAGCTCAGTTTGTTTAAAAATTACATCCAACTGTATTTTAAATGATTAGATTACCAACGGGAAGTTACATGCTTACTCGAATATAATACAGTTCACTATGGCATTGAGTACTGTTTTCTTTACATTTCATTTTTTTAACTTCTTGGTTGACTAAAATTCAGAGAAAAAAGTCAACTACTAGTAGACTGTGCTCAACTAAAATGATTTAGAAAGGCAGTTTAGTTGGTCGGTAACTTGTTTCATTTTTAATAGATCTAACGCAAATTTTTTCTCATGGTCCAATGAGAGTGATATAATTCACCTCGTCTCTTCTCTTATAGGCTGCAAGCTAAAACGCAGCCATAGAAAATTAATAAAGCAAGAATATCTGGTAAAAGTTTTTTGGCGTGCGAAAAACTCTATACGCTTCCATACACACTTGCGCTGTTGGAAGTTTTCCCGTCTAATCTCCGTTAAAGCGTATCTCTTTCTTATTTTCTTCATCCCTGTTGACCAATGTTGAGGTCTTTTTGCTCTTTTTACCTTCGTAAAGTAGATGTTCTTTTTTTCCCTTAACTTATTTTGGCGCTTCCTTTTATCCTTGATTCAATCGAGTTTTTATCCTTTTTTACGGGGCTTTTTCCCCGTGTCTAAGCACATTAGCGAGAAATAATTTGCTTTCTTTATTTGTAGCTTTTCTCTCGTCGATAAAAATGGATTTTCATTATTTTTAATCCTCAAGCTCGTTTTATATGATGAAAGGAATTTTATAATTTCAGATTAGCTTTTCAGTTTTGCAAAGTTTATAGAAAAATTATTATATGGACTTTTGTTTGAAACTGAAATTACGTAAACGCAGTTATATATAGCAATATAATTTTGAAAATGTATATTAACTAACACTTACAGTCTTGTCACTTTTTCATTCTACAATATTTAGATATAAATATATCTTTGTACATATCTAACATAACATGCATACAAAAATTTATGTTAATACACATACATTTATGTATACATGTATGTGCATATACATGTAACCTAGAGCAGAAAAATAACAGATATAATTGGATATGCCATACTGTGTCAAATGTTACTTAATACAGCAGGATAGACGTATAGGTTTTAAAATTTAAGATGTCATTCATAAAATTATTTTGTCAGAAGCATCATAATAACAGAAAAAATAACAGCATATCTAAGGCCAGTCATTTCTTGATGCTCAGGAAATCTCCCAAAACTCCTATAGCTTTCCGGAATTAAAACTGTTTAATCCCACAGACAGTTTAGTTTCACTTTCCTCTTCTGTTCCTCGAGGATCTATAGAAATTTCTGTATCTTTGTTTTCATACACACTGGGGTAATTTCATTAATGTCTACATATAGATATATAAATATATTCGTTCGGGAAACTAAGCTAATCCTAAACCTGTTGCAAGTTTTTCGAATTTGTACGATACAGCACATAGTATGAAAATGAGCATTTCGGATACTACCCCTAGAAACATTTCAAGCTGTTTAAGTAAATGTGCTAAAAATTAAAGAAAACAAGTGATATTGTTCAGCTTTTCCAGTATTTCTTAACAAAGTTTCATTAATAAACTTTCTAAAATGGGAAGCAAGATCAGAAGGTTTTGCATAATATTAGCTTTGGAGAATAAAAATTAATTCGATACTTTGTAAAAATAGGTACTTTAAATCAACTGGTCCCTCGGTACGTTTAGGTTACTAAAGTAACTTAACTTTAAAATGATGACGTCCACTACATGAAGAATCATAAATGAAATCTGTATTGGCTTTGGTTATAAGCAGAGTTAACTAAGAGACAACTTTTGCTATTAATTTGGGGAAACTTCAAAATAGTAGCTGAAAATTGTCTTGAAATAGAGAGCTCTTGGAAGTATTAAAATTATCATTTCATTTATAATTCTGCATAGTATTCTCTCAGTACATCTGTTTCATTCATTCTTCTCATATTGTAGTAAATAAGAAAATCCCCTCCAGTATCTCCTTTTGTGTATAATAATTAGAAAAACTATCTTGCAAATAAAAGATCCCAATGTTGCTGTACAGCATTGCTTGCCCTTTCCTGAGGTCAGTGTCTCACAGTGTACTCAAAAGCACCTAGTGTACACACTCTTTATGTCTTTGTTTCTCCCACTTTTATGCATCAAGTGACATCACTGAATTTGTTGGAAAAAAATCTAACAACACCACCAGGAGTTTCCTTTCATCTATATAGTTTTCTGTAAAATTCTAAAACGAAAATAATATCCATTATTAAAAGCACAAACTATATAAATATTGGCTGAAACTTCCCGCTTTTGAAAATTGAGGCAAATGAAATTAATTCTTTCTACTCAACAGCAAAGATCGTTTCTTCCCCGCTCTCGACGATTACGGGGTATCCTTGCCGTGACGTCACTTTCAGTGAGAAGGCCTTCATAACTCTCGGTGGCGTTGGACTAACCGTGTTTCTCTATTGACACTGGGATGATCCGAAATTTATTTTTCTGAGAGATCTTAATGGATTTTGCACGTTTTCCTCCCCAGCTGGGGAAAAGGACAGTCGGGATAACAGAACCCAAACTAAAACGAGGAGGATGATAACTCGTTACCATATAAATTTGATTGGTTGGGTTCTGCCTAATCCCCCTATTCGCTCTTAAAGTTTGGAAGATATAAGGAATGATATTTGTTGCGTGTGCCATGGTTAGCATATTCAGCTAGTGGAAGTTTGGTGGCTCATTTCTTGGAGACGGCACAGCACAGATGATTTTTCACATTTCTCGCTTCAAGGAAAAGGTAAATTTCAAAATATTCTGCGAAATGCATCCTTGAACGCGTCAAAATTGTATTCAGTCATACTTTATGAAAAAGATCGAAGATATTTCGACAAAATTTTGCAAGTTATTTTATTTACGTCCGGGGTTCGGAATTAGCAACTGAATTCTTCAGATAATTTATATTAAAGCTTTGTATTATAACCGCATTATTTTAATCCTTTTCAATCATTCGGCCCCATTAAAGGAAGTATTTTGGGCGGCTAGGACCTTTTCCTTGTCAATAAAGAAGCAAGATTTACTTGCATCATAATGTGTTCATTATATGTTCCTCATTCTGATACGTTTATCTCAACGTTTTTTAATTTCAAATAACAAATATTAAGATAGTTTTAGAATTTCATTTTGAGAAAACTTTAGTTTATGTAAAATGCCCAAGGCTTCTTCCAAACACGACCCTAAAATTTGTTCTGATTAACCATAACTTTGCCATTTTTATGTCACTCCACAGCTTTCCATAAAGACGAGAGCAGTTTTATCACAATTCTGCGTTTCCCATAAAGGTGGAGATTTAAATTAAGTCATTAGAATATCAGTTACTACTTAACTAATTAATCATTAATTCAAAAGAAAATCGGCCTTGCATAAGAGTGAATGCAGCCTTTTTGCACTCTCTCTTATCTCGCGACACCGTTATGGTGATTTCTGTCGAACAGTGGCTGTTTTGTACAGAGATACGGCACCGTTATGAAAACGTGTTAGGTGTTAGTAAGCAGGTTAGATTGAAGAAGATAACATTGTTCCCTGAAGACTTTAGCGCCTTCAACTCAATCCAAGAGGCGGGGTAACTGAACATTCGACGCGGGAAAAGGAAGATAGCCGATTTTACCATGCGTCCACCAGCCTGAACCAACACCTTTTCTGCTTAGAAACCGTATTGGCTGAAAGCTTTCGAAGAATCATAATTTCGCACACGCAGTCTATACTACACAACCAAGATTATAGGATTACAGGTTATCAGATTACAGATTATCACATCACATATTATCAGATTACAGTCAGTGTAGTAAACGACCCCAATGTGTTTTCAGCGTATCACTTTAACCTTTTGAAGACGGGATGGCCATTATAGTAACCATAGAGTCCTCTCTTTGAAAAGACGGGGTTGTCCACGTTAGTGGCCATGTCTTTTTCCCCCATTTTCCTGGCTGAAAAGTGGGGTTAAATGTCAAATTTGACGTCCCTGGGGTTTTAACCACATATCTCTTTCAAAGGTCTTCTTTTTGCGACATAGATGCACCCCTCTGAGAATCCATTAAACTACACACAAGAATCTTTGTTGCAAATAGGAGGTGATTTCTTAAAGGGGGAAAGCATTCGGTTTAAGATTCCCCCTCCTTTGGTAGCTTTTACTGCTACCAAAGCCCCGGCCTCAAAAGGTTAAGACGTAACAAGGTTCATTAATCACTAAAATGTGAGAATTTCATTAGTTACTCTACTTTGATTAAATATGTGATATGTACTAACTTACCTTGTAAAATGATAAAAGTGAGTATCTCCCATAGTGACATGATGACTGAAATGCAAGTCATGTGAAAGGTGGAAATGTCCATCTGTTGCGAGGATCTATCCACGGCAGCCTCACGGGCTTCATAACTAACCCACCTTCCAGTTGGGCATAGCCACAACTGGAAACAAGAAACTATTCAGAAATCACCGGTTAACTCAATGGTACCACCTGCAAATACAAAATGAAAATTATGTAAGCATTATTTGAAGCATCAACAAGAGTTTGCTATTAATTATATGAAAATTTGTTTTACAAAATATTCACAATTTTTCTATATGTCTTATAAAACATCATTTGGACTAAATATTATGGGAATTTCTCAATAACAAAACTTCTTTAGCAAGTTTACTACCTTTTTAAATGTAATAATATTTCACTGATATGTATATAGACATATTACCAGTCATAGCCAATTAATATCCTACTAGCCATATAAAATCCCGTGAGCACTTTTTCTGCCTTCTACGTCTAGGCTAACGACATTGATTTTTGTGACTATGGATTTCTTAAGAGGATTATTTTCTTAAGACTTTTAACAAGCTGTTGTGTTGATGTTGTGACTTATCTCACTCGTCTGCAAGTAACATCAGAACAAGCTCACGAAATTTATCGTAGCAAGGAGAGCAGGATTGCGCCTCTCGTTCGCAAGAGTCTTAAGCACGATACATGTGGCAATACGACATCGCTCAGTTTCATCACCAATTTTAATGGAGAGCTACCCCGGAGGGACGCGTCCGAGGGTCTCCCGCCTCTCTTCTCCTACTCCGAGCCTTTAGAGAGGACGTCTCCGGGATTCGAATTCGGGCCCTTCGGTTACGCAGTAAGCTTCCTAACCCATAACTGCGCTTGGGCGGGACTTTTAACAACCTTAGAATTATCATAAAGAATTGTTGAAAATATCACCAATTGTTCATATGCGCACCAGAAATGCATTTATCAGCCTCTATGATAATATCATCTTTAAGTTTAAAGTCCATAATTTCTTTCATGCAAAACATATTACAAATTGTGTGTTTTTTAAATTTCTTTATGTAATTATACTTTTGGTTTCAGAATCGCTCTGTATGAAAAAATTCTTACAAAGATAATTTGAAATTAATATCATGAGAATCGTAAAATAACTGTAGTTTATTATTCCACAGCTCATTTCTAATTATGCAATATAATTGCAAAACATAATTCGTCGTAAGTCGTCTAACTCTCATCAACAGCTTAACTCTTTCGCATCGAAGTCGCCCGTAACGCCCGTTCATTCAGGCAACGGCAAACCGCCCCAACGCCTCGTTTATTTTCTACCTAGTTCTTTCCCCTCCACGTTAGTGTATGGCTCATTGGTTTCGCGAGTTCTTAAAAGAATGTCAATCATTCTTTTGAAGCAAATAAAGGAGAAATACGGAAAGCTATTGACGTTCGCAGGTGCAATCCGGCCCTAAGGTGAAACTGCACACAATGGAGAACCGCAGAAAAACCTCCAAGAGCAGCAAGGGGAAAAGGAAAACTATTCCAAGACAAATTCGTAAACACGGGCGTTTTCGATGTTTGTTGAAAACAGATTTGGTCGTCTCTCGATGCGAAAGAGTTAAACAAGTATTCTAAAGCATAGAAGTTAGCCACCATTTGCAGACTAACGAGATATTCGAGAGCTGCCTGCCTAAGGGCACAGTAGATCATGAGTTTAGCGAAAATCGACCAAAAATTTGGGAAAAATTTCACATGATAATATTCTACGGTTTGAACTCTATCGTCTATAAATAACCACTTGTGTGTACAAATTTTTAAAAAGAAGTTACAATAGTTTGAATACACTTGTTTACCTTTTTAGTGAAATTTAAGAGGATATTTATATGTCAGTAAAAAGTTAAGCAAACATTTGGGAAAAGTTATTTTAATTTTCGCAAATAATACTTTTTACTATTAGTAAGAGATAAATGTGCAAGATATGAAGACTGCAATTTATGCAAGTTTCACATTTATTTATAAGGTATTTCTTCGGCTTTCCTAGCATGCCTTCGTGGTGTAGTGGTTCTGCACACTGGTCCGGTATTCCAGAGGTCCGTGGTTCGATTCCCGGGACAGGCGGTTGCTAATTTTTTAATCTCTTGCTTCCAAAAATTCCTAATGTCTCTACAGTGGCGCCCGAACTAAAAGGGTGTTGGATGAGGATTCTCCACACCCAAGATTTGGCGATTGGTTCTTCTAAAAACCCCAGTCGCCCTTTAAAAAGGGAAGTATATAAGGTATTTCTACCACTTTCCTAGCGAGCCTTCGTGGTGTAGTGGTTCTGCACTCTGAGCTGGTATTTCAGAGGTCCGTGGTTCGATTCCCGGCAAAGGCGGTTGCCAATTTGTATCTCTCCGGCTTCCAAAAAGTACCTAATATCTCCTTACACTGTTATTCTACGGATGACTCACCTAGACATAATAAATGTTCAACAGGTGCCACATCATGGTATTCTTTTCAACGTAGTATTGCCAAAAAATAAGAAACCTAAATCTGATTCAGTCATGAAAACCAAATTACCAGTAGATGTTTTATCCAAAATACTGTCAGCGTATCAAAGGCTAGCCAGTAATGAACTTCTAGCAAGATACATATCTGGAAAAACACAAAACAATAACGAAAATTTTCATAGTAGCATTTGGAAGAACTGCCCCAAAGAAATGTATTGAAACACATAATCGAATGGCTGTTATTACAGCAATTAGTGATTTTAATTTTGGATGCTTAAATAATTTAGGTGTGGAACAGGAAAGTAAAAATTCATGTTCAATATCTATTGGAGAGAGGCTAGATAAACGTTGTATAGACCAAAGCGAAAAGAGGTTTTCGACTGGGTGCAAAAAAAGAAGAATTGTCAGAAGAAAAAAAAAAAACAACTGTGTAAAGCAGCTAAACATAATGAAAAGGTAAATAAGGAAGGGGGAACATATGGTGCAGGAAGTTTTGAAAGTGATTCTTAATTAAAAAAGTGTTTAGTTAAATTTAATAAAAATGTTCGAGAAAATTTCTAATATAATATTAAGTATTTCTTATCATTCTACAATTTTATTAATATAAAAAGTATTTATGAATAAGTGAAACAGTATTAAAATATTTTATATTAAATAAAATCATGTATTAGGACATACTGAGCAGTAAGTATAAAAAGTAAGTGTAAAAATATTAATTCAGAAGTCAAACAACAAAAATCATGTGAAAATTTTGTAAATATAACGCTGATTTCTGTTGTTTGACTTCTGAATTAGTATTTATTCGGCGTGTTAATGTGTCTTAATTGTAAAAATATTGTTTAAATATATTTTTCCTATAATGAAATTTTCATTATTATTACGTCTTCAAAATGTTCCATGGGTTTTGGTTTATGCTCAAAATGTCTGTAATTTAGATAACTGTTTATACATGTAACAAAACTTGATCTGCATTTTTATATGCAAATTCATTAAGTGGATAAAAGTCTAATTTAAATATATCAAAGTGCGAAATTTAGGTATATGTGAAAGAAATACTATTGGCATTCTATGCAGTTCACTAATTGATACCAAATTGTGTTTTAATGCATTTTAAATAAAAAATAAAGCAAAAGTAACGAGAAATAAAAAATTAAGACACATACAACATTTTAAAAATAAATAAAAAATTAAAATTAATTTTTAAAAAAAGTTTAAATTGAAATGAGCCAGAATTTTTTAAACACCATCAGTACAGTTATTTGATATAATTATGGTAAAACATACATGCACACAAAATTTCATATCTCTATGACAATAATTACAAAAATATTTGAACGTCCACTGCTCCCCTAAGGAGAAGAATGCCTTCTCTTTAGAACGGTTCTTTAACAGATAGCCGTTATGACTTGGAGGATTTTCCGAGGAAAATGCGTTTGTATTTTCCTTATTACTATGGAAAACAAAAATTATCATGTAGCCATCCCGTTTATTAGGATTTAATTCTGGGCTAAACTTCTTAAGCAATTTACCGTTCGGTCGCTAGTCCATGTTGCAAGAAATTCCTATTTTCTTGTCAGTCGTAGTTTTGAAAGTAGAACGTTTGTTTGGTTTGATTACAGCAAAGCGTGCGAGATCTATCTGCCTAAGGGGATGAATGCCTTTGTGGAGGAATATATAAGGAAACTGGATCGGATTCACATTAGACTTGAAGAAAAGAATGAAAAAGTCATGCAGCCAACCCATTTGCCAGAATTTAAACCCGGGATGTTCTGCCAGTGTTTAGCGTCTTGGTTCCTCGGTGAAAGTACAATGCTTTTTATATGTTTTGCAAATGCTTTATCTCAAACCTCAAACTCTACTTTAAAATCATAACCAAAGGAATGTTCACTGGTTTAAAAGTGATTTTCCCCAAAAGATCAGGGAAGCATTAAGATGGAAACAAATATTCCTTCCATCTGCAACGAGCTAAGAATGCATTATCGAAAACTTCTAAGTCTATAAATGAGAATATATATTTTTAAGGCGCATATTAAAGTTTGATTCTGAATGAATCTTTATGAGAACTTACATTACTGTAAGAAACACAAAGCTGTTAAACACGAGTAGGGCATTCCATCGTGACAGTGGTTCACGATACATGCAAGGCAATCATAAAAATCAATGCAAATATCTTCCAAATATCTTCTGGAAAAACGCTCAGCTTGAAATTCTTGCTTTAGTGGTTTTATCAGCGCGGCCGCAGATGGGCATACTTTACGAGGAATGTTAAAAAAGTACTTGAATATATGTACCCTGAATATATGTATCTGGAATATATGTACTTTATGATATTAGTAATATATGGATGGATGTAAAATGAAAATCAGTTTAAAATCATCATAAGATTCCTGCTTCTTGTCCTAATATATTACATATATTACAGTATGTAATATATTAGGTCTTTCATCACGTTAATTTCACCCACAAACATTGAAAACATACAATTTATAAAATTTTAAAATTATAATGTAGTTCAGATGTAGTTATTTCTGATGAATATTTTGTTTTCTTCAGTATCTGGTTTATAAACTTCCTCGCCGGTTATTTAAAAATGAATTTTGTTTGATATATGTTTTCTGGAGTATATATGTGTTGGTGAAACATGGAAATTAGACCTTTTTTTTCAGTTCTTTACTTCCGTTAAAATGCATCATAAAAATTTTATCTCTAAACTATTATGCATAAA